TGTCTGGATGCAGGTGCTGACGGCTCCTGTGACTGAGCTCGACGGTGGCCCCAGGAAGCTTGTTGAGCTTGACCCCGAGCTCGAGGGGAGGAGAGATACAGCTATGGTTCTTCATGTGGAGGAGCTGCCTAAGGACCTCTTGTCGAACCCGAGGGATATTTTCAAGGAGCCCAAGAACGACGACCACAACGTGCCGGTGCCGATGGACGAGAGTGCTGGCGGTGCCGGCCTGATGCCTGAGGAGGTTGCTCTTGAGGGGCGGCCGGTGCAAGGCGATGAGCCTGAGTCTGGTGAGGAGGAGTTGGAAGGTGTTCGGCTCAGCGCCGACACGCAGCTCAAAGACCTCAAGGAGCTGTGCAAGAAGCTTGGCCTGCCAACCAGCGGAGGCAAGGCCAAGATCCTCAAGAGGCTTCGTTCTCACTACGAGGTCCTGGAAAAGCAGATGTCTACAGAGGTGGCTCGCAAGATGTACGCCGAGGCCGAGCGGGAGCCGGGGACTTTGAAAACTCCTGTTCTCCCCTCCAGCCGGCAACAGGAACTCCACAATATTACGCATCACCCCTTTCAGCCGTGGTGCGAGGCATGCGTCTTGGGCCGGAGCCGGCAGAGTCCTCACAAAAGCCGGCCGGCCGAACACGAGGGAGACGAGGTTCCTGACACCGTCCCCGACAAGCCGGTTGTGCAAATTGATTACTGCTACACCTTTACAAGACACAGGTGGCAGGGCCAAGGTGACCAAGCAGCGCAAGGAGATGACCAAGGCCAGCCAGAAGCAGAGTAGCAGCAGCACCAGCAGGCGGAGGATGGAGCCACGGAGGAGATTGATTACCGGGACCAGTTCGGTCTATGCTTGGTGGCTGTTGAGTCCACCACCGGGTGGATGCAAGCAACTCCCATCCTGGAGAAGGGCGCTGCCTCCTTGAAGCGTGTTGCTGAACAGCTTGTTCGTTTGACCCTCCAGGTTTCCCCGGGCAGCGCGGTGGTGGTCCAGAGCGACACAGAGCCAAGCGCCAAGCAGGTGCTCAATGCAGTCGAGGCCTGCAGGGCAAAGCTCGGCATGGTGACTGAGAAGCGGTGGGTGCCTAAAGCCAGCCACGCCTCAAACGGGCGAGTGGAAAAGGCGATTGACACCGTGCGGCGAAATGCTTTGACTCTGAAGGCATTCCTTGAGAGCCGAGTGGGTGGTGTCATTGAGGGCCACAGACACATCTACTCGTGGCTGTTTCGGCACTCCGCTTTCCTGTACAACAGGTTCCATGTCAGCGTTCGCGGCGGCACTCCCCACGAAATTCTTCAAGGGCGGCATTACCGTGGTGCCCCTGTGCCTTTCGGTGAGGTTGTCATATTTTACAAAGGCAGCAAGTGCAAAGGGGATTTGCAGTGGCAGAGAGGAGTCTGGGTCGGCATCAATGAAAGAAATGGTGCCAATATCCTGAGCACCGCTGAGGGCACCTACGAAAGCCGTTCAATTCGAAGACTACCTGACGAAGAAAAATGGAGCTTGAGTGCAGTGGTCAATGCCAAAGGCTTTCCCTGGAACTACCAAGGCCAGGGGAGAAGGAAGAGGCCGCTTTATACCAGCGTGCGCGCTGGGGTTCCGTTGGTGCCTGACCATGCGACGTTGCAGGAGCTTGCCCAGGCGGCAGGCAGGGCAGCCGCAGAAAGCATTGCAGCGGGGACCCCAAAGCCGGCCAATGTTGATGAAGCCGCGCCGGACCCCACGTCATCCTCTCCAAGCTCACCCTCGGCGGCAGCAACACCCAACAACCAACCGCAGCAAGAGCAACGTGATCAACAACAACCTCCTGGAGCCGATGCTTTGGCAGGTGGCAGCAGGCCAGTCGATGTTAGCAACAGCCAACAACCACAGCAAGAGCGACGTGATCAACAACAACCTCCTGGGTCCTTTGTTTACGGTAGCTTGGCCTCAGGTGGTGCAGGGTCGTCTTCACATGCTCCAATGGACACAGGTGGTGGGTCCCATGCCGAAAGGCCGTCTGGTGGAGAGGCCACGCCCAAGAGGCCGCGGCTTTTGCTGGACCGTCCTCCAGGTCGAAGCCCAGGGTCAGCCGCATCGCCAGCCAGTGGCCTGTACCCTCCAGGATATGCTGGTGTCAACATGGTGGTGGGAGACGTTGGGCTGGATGAGTCCAGTGACTTTGGCGGCTGGAGCGAAGAGCTCAAGGAGGCGATGGTCGATGAAAGCGAGCACGCTGGCAGCTACTACCAGGAAGTGGTGTGGGACGATGAGGCGGAACACGCTCCCGAGCTCACGGAGGCAGAGCTTGCTCCGGTTGATTCCCAAGCCGACCGAAAAGAAGCAAGTCGTTTGTTGGAGATGGGGGTCATTCGTTGGCCCCGTGAAGGCGAGGACCTCACCGAGTACCAGTCGTTGACGACTTTCGAGATTGGAGGTGGAGGCCAAATTGGGTGAGGCTCAGTCGTTTGGTGGGCCGCGAGTTCAGAACGATGAGCGCATACACCCAGGAGCTGTTCGCACCGGCAAGCACGCTGGCAGCAACTCACGCGTTCTTGGCCGTGGCCCTGACGAGGAAGCTTGAGGTCTGCACCTTTGACTTCAAGGATGCTTACCTTCAAGTGGACCAACCGGTGCCAATGACAATCGAGGTTGCAGCTTCTATGTTTGGTGCCGACAGGCAGGGCACTGTTACCTTGGTGCTGGACAAGCTGCTTCCTGGCCAAAGGATTGGGGCAAGCGCCTGGTTTGGCTTTGCAAAGGACCTCCTCGCCAAGGGCGGCTACACTGGCTTTGTCAAGGAGCCCACTCTTTTCAAGAAGGACGCTGGTGGGAGCCAGGCGGGTGTCATCCTGCATGCCGATGATGGGCTCATGGCTTCAACAGCAGCCGAGCGTGAAGAGCTCAAGAAGGTGTTGCGGGAAAAGGTGCAAGTGGAGTTTTCAGACCCGATGGTTGGGCCAGGTGACGAGATCCAGTTCCTCAAGAGGAAGTATGTGATGGGAGAGAAGGGGATAGTCGTGTACTCCAACGGGCGCTACCTCCAGGCACTTGTGAAGGCCCTCGGTGACAGCCTTAAAGTGCGGGACGCCCCGGCCGACAACAGCTTCCTGGAAACAGACGGGAGCAAAGAGCTTGGGGCCAAGGAGGCGAAGGAGTACAGGAAGGCAACAGGGAGATTGCTTTATCTCTCCCACACCAGGCCCGACATCCAGTTCCCGGTGTGCATCTTGAGTTCAAAGATGTCCTGCCCCACTGTGAACGCACAGAAGTGGCTCAAGAGGACTGTGGGCTACCTTGCCTCAGTGCCAGAGATTGGGTTCGAAATCCGGCCCATGCGAAACGGTGCCACCTTTGACTTTGGAGGCGGTGGCATTGGAGATGAGGGGAGCAAGGTGGTGATTGAAGCAATCACCGACGCTGATTGGGCAGGTTGCCGACGAACCCGCCGCTCAAGAACCTCGGTGCAGCTGTATGCAGGCGGGAGCTACATGTGCAGCTTTGTCCGCTCGCAAAAGTCGATTGCACTGAGTTCCGGCGAGAGCGAGTTCGTGGCGCTCGTCAGTGGCGCAGCAGAAGCTATCTACCTTAGTGACTGCGTTTCTTTTCTTGTGGAGCCTCAGATGGTGGTCGAGACCAAGTGCAGGACAGACAGTGCAGCTTGCAAAGGCATAGCAAACCGCCTGGGGTGCGGCCGTGTGCGACATTTGGCATGTGGCTTGCTCTGGGTGCAGCAATGCGTCAAGGAGGGCCGAATCCTGACCGGCAGCATCCCCGGGGTGTTTAATCCTGCAGACTTGGGGACGAAGCCACTCTCAGGTGGCAGAGTCCGCGAACTTTTGTTTACAATGGGGGCCGTTGAGCCCGATGGCCAACCCTACGGGCAAGCAGACAAGGAGGCCGCGGACCACAAGAGGATGGTTTCGCAGGCTTTGAAAGAGTGCCGAGAGAGCTCTGGATCAGTGAGTGCAGTGCAGGTGAACAGGTGGCTGCCAGTGCTTTTGTTGATGGCACAGGCAGGACAAGGCCAGGGCTTGAGCTTGGCTGCGCCAATCGCTGCGCTTGCTGAGCCGGAGTTTGCTTACAGCGTGGTTGCGGCAGCGGGGATCGGCTTGGTCACAATGGTGGTGTTCTTGGGCATTCCTTTTACAGTGCTGAAACTGCTTAAGTGGAGTTTTGGCAAGTGGTTTTTCCGTGCAAAGACCCGAGACGCCGACACCCAAACTGACGTGCTGAGGCCAAAGGTTGAGCCGAAAGTGAAGCGTGAAAGTGATGCTTTTGCGCAAGAGTATGTAGATCGATGTACAGATTTGCAGTCGCTCCTTGGTGAGCGCTGCCGCCAGAACCGTGAAATGGAGAGGGCCCTGTACGAAGTTAGGACACAGAACAGAGCGCTGACGGCCCGCGTAGAGCACTTGAGCGCTCGGAGAAGCCCTCAAGAGATTTGTGTGACAACGTCACGTGGTGAGCGGTATCACCTCCCTGGATGCCACAATATCCGTAATCGCAACAATGTGCTGTCTTTCTCCCCATGTCAGGCATGCCTTGGAGGGTGATGAGATTCCGCATGTATAGGTTTTCCGGTGCTGAAGTGGCTGAAGATAGGAGGCCACTGTCAGCAAGGCAGGGTGTCAGAACTGTGACCAGCCCTTTGTACACACCGCACGTCGCAGCCCTGAAGTGTTCAGAAAATCTTGCAATTAAAGTATATCACATCAAACACTTTAACATCAGATTCTGAGTAATGAATTGGTTGCAGTTTTTCTTCACTGAAGTTAATGGGAAAGAACTTATTTACAGTTATGGCATGGCCCTTAACTTCCCGAGTTAGGTTATGAGTCCCTATTACAAGAGGCACTCTATAGCCATTCCGTGCCATCCATTCAGGTATATATGACTTACCTGACCCTGCATATAATCCCCTTATCATGACCACTCTCTTTTCTTTAATCTGCTCCACTTTAGCGGGCGTATCGTATTCATCTACAACTTCAAGGGTCTCATGAACCCTCTTGGATATTTTAATCAGGTCTTTCTCAAATAGGTGCGCAACATCATAGGATAAGCAAACACATAAAATGTTTCATAAATATTTCGTAAACCTGAAACGGCAAGCGTAACAAGCCATGAATGTAAAACGTACAAAAGCATGAAGCAATCATAAAATAGATTCCCAGGTTGTTCATATTCTTATGCACATGAGACTGTCTCAAGTTTAGGACGGACACACACACACACACACGCACGACAAAGCACAATCAAACGCCCATGCGTGCGTTACGAACCCAACACCCAGAACCCGTCGTGGGTTCCCAGAATGGACAACAGATGTCGTGTCTGGTGGTCGCGTGGTGATCTCCCCATCTCCTTGCGGTCTCTCTCTCGAAGTGGTCGTCGCAGTAGTTCTGGTGGTCGTGGTTGTTTTGGTTGTCGGGGTCGTTGTCGTCGTGGTGCCCTATCACTCACAATTTGGGGGGATTTACGCCGGCGTGCTAGATCTGCACAAAGTTGCAGATACATGCCTTGGCCGCAGCGGGCGTTGACGTTTTGGCGGCGAAGAACAAGCTTTACGCTGAGGAGCTGGCGGCCCAAAGACACGGCTTTTGCCCCTGCTTTTGGTCTCTAAGGTCCGGGCAGTCGGCTTTGGAGCTCGCTCGTGAACGCGGCCGAGAGTCGGCGCTCCGAGGCATTGAAAGCCACACTCCGCAACGGCAAAAAGCGGATGTGCTCTTGAATCTGCTAGTCAGGCCTGCAAGAGCTGGCTGCGGCGGCGGCGGGAACTTCGGCAGACACGACTCCCAACCCAGCACCAGCCACGGCAAGCTCTGTTCCGGCCACACTTAGGGGCGACTTCCGAATTTTACCGGCTTGCGCATGGCAGCGGCTGTACCAAGATT